ACACTTCGCTCTGGACAAAAAGTCGAATGTGATTTCATGGTGAGCCAAGTTTCGAACTTTCAATTTCTGGACTGCCATTTAATGAGTTTCGGACGTCTAGGTGAACGCCACTGGCCAGCAGCCTTCTTCTCAGCTCATCAGCGACTTCGTCCCCAAGGCGATCGCAAAGTCAGGCCGGATCAAGGTCAAGCCAACGATGCAAATCGATGTCGACTCGCTACCGCACATATACGTGTGTGGTGATGTTGCCGAAGCCGGTGTCACCAATCCCAATGCCCGAGCCGCCATGAAGCAGGCCATCTACGCCGCGGATAACCTCATTCTCGCTCTTCAGTCGAAGACGCCTGCCAACATTTACGAGCACTATTGGGCTGACGGGGTTATTAAACTGACGCTTGGTCTTGTAAGTTTTCAACATGGGCGCCTAACTACAAAGTATAAAACTTGAGGTCTAACGCGTCACAGCATAAATCCATCACTGCTTTCGGTATCGGGGACACGGAGCTGCTCTTCCGTGGAAAGGAGAAGGAGGTTACGTTAATGATCGAGCGTGCTTGGACAAACATGGGAGCTAAGCCCTATGAAGACAAGGAGTATGTGACGGGAAGGGCACAGAACAGCGTTGCTGATAAGGCTCTCGAGGTGGCCAACGAAACCGTGTGATATGCAACATCCGGAGCAGCCGGGCGTCACTGGCAAGGGCTTGTTTACGGCGTGTCTAGATATAGAGATGTTTTTTTTTTTTTTTCGCAGTTGAAAGCTAGAGGATACCAGTGCAGATGTTCAGGATCAACCAATACCATGTCTGGTACATCCAGTGACATGATAAGATTCCATTCTCATAGGCTCCGCCTTTTTAGAGCATCGTGAGGTACGGCCTCTCCCACATTCCGGGTGGGACAAGACCAAAGCCTGTCCAGTCCCAAGATCCTAGGTTGCAACCCGCTGTCCGCATATCCCATCAGCTTCGAGAGGCCTGCAGATCTGCCGGCGACACAAGAGCTAAGGGCACTAGTGTGTAGGGTTCAATTTGGCCGCAGGAAACCTTGATCAAACCTCTTGTTTCTGTTGCTTGTTGGCACTAGAAAGGTCAAGCTCTCTTCAGTTGCAGTACCCCAGGCAATCAACTTGTCAATTCCTTCAAATAATATTCGTCGTTCTCTCAAGACCGATTCTTTCGCAAAAGGCTTCTCAGCCTCTGTCGCACAATTCTCGAGATTTATCGTTAATATCACATTTGGCCATGGCACACTGTCACCTTACATTTCGGCCCCGAGTCCTTTTCTCCATGAACACCATCAACCTTAATCCAAAGATCCACCTTCCGGCACCTCCCCTCCTCCTTCTCATTCCACAGCCTCCCACACCGCCAACAAAGACAAAAATTCTCGCCTTGCTTCTTGATCGGCTGCAAGTGCCCATACCACCTCTCATGAACAGCGCATTCCCAGCATCGCCTCATCATCAACGACTTCCGGAACCACGACTTTTCAAATCTCCTCATTCGGTCGCCGAAGCAGTTCTTCTCTAGGATACGACCGCATTCGTAGCACGGCCATCGCCCTCCAAACCCGCGGCGCCCGTAGCGATAGCCGTAACGCTCCGTCTTGTAGAGAAATTGGTTCCGTTGGTGTTTCGGTATGAGGGTTTGGACGTTGAGGTGGTCGTGGAGGAAGTGGTTTGTGGCTGAGAGTTTGAGAATGTCCACGTAGTCCAGGTAAGCGGCAATCTGATAGTGAATATCGAAGGGCAGATTTTGGAACGGACACGGCATTGTATGTGCCGTACCAGGGTCTGGCCCCCTTGCTAAAGCCATGGTCATCGTTGGCAGGATCATGAGTTGTTGTATTTTCTGCAGCCCTCATTCCTTCCATTGGTGGCAATCATTTCCCAAACGCAACTATGAGCCTGCAGATGTTTCCAAGTTTTGCTGGTTGATGACAATGTTTACTCTGATCTGGCGAAAGTCTCGGTCTTCAACTCGTTGCTGCCTGGAACTGCTGATCGCGGTGTAGGAGTCATCGTTACAACCGGCTCAACCGGCCCGGCTTACCGTACCGACGTTACAAGGTAGGACTGATGTATCTCTTGAGAACTGAAGCTTACACAAATTCCTAAATGAATTCCTGTCCTTTCAGATCTGTGGTATCAATACAGCAAAAGACCACGTCGATTGTCTCAAGAATAGGGTTCAGAATTGTTTCCCGGGACTTGATGGTCTCACTCTAAACGTCCCCGCGGGAGGAGGCACAGAAGATTCTTTGAGGCAATTTGTTGTCACCTACTCCAAAGATCAGATTCTCAATCATTTGGAATACTCAGTTAGGTATGCTCTCCCCTCTGACACCTTTGAGTCCAATATCTTCGTTCTCTTAAACCCCTAAACCTTATGGAATGAGAAGTCAACCAATTGTGCAACAGCTCTTAGGCAAACTAGCATTCATAAAAATGTCTCCTCGGTAGTATTCAATACTCAATATGAATACTTTAAAATGCCTTTAGTCAAATAATCATGTTTTCATATACCCATGTAGCCCATTACGCCCCGTACCTCCGGATTCTCGCCATCCACATGGCATAGAGAAGCAGCAGACTCATCCCAAAATTCCGCCATTTTACCACAATACCGATTTGACTCCCATAAGTTCATCTATTCCCCTCGTTATGCCTATGACTGCTGCAACTCATACTCCTTGGGCTTTTTACCGTTGATGTACTCCCATAGTCTGCTCTTTTGGCAAACCTTGTGCCCTTCCACGTCGCAACTGCCGTTTCCAGCTCTCATAGTCCTAGCCATGAAAGTTTCCATCAGAGGCTTTCCTTTGCTCTCAACGACCCGAGTTAGGGTTTCGTTCAGGGGAAAGAGTCTATCGAGATAATGCTGGTTCAACAGGTGACCCAACACGTTGTTCTCGAAAAGTAATCCAGCAAAGGTGTTCTGTCTCTTATCCAGGCGTAGAATGTCATCAACGATTGGCAAGAAAGGATGCCTTCCGTCCATTGGCTGAGGGTTGCTTTGCTCGGCAACCAGAGACTTGAAATGGATAACTCCCCATTGGGATACAAAGTCACCAGTGTTGCCATAATGCTCGATGTGCCCGATAACGTGTTCGTTTTTTGAGGTTTCGGGATCATTGAAATGGTTGGCAGCGTTACCGAAAGTGTAGATCTCCAGCTTATGCAAGGTCTCTCGGCGGTAGTTGGAGAGGAGCCAATCGAGGATGATGCTGCCCTCAAGGCCGCCTTGGGAGTGAAGGATGAGAACGGTCTTGTCTTTCTTCTGCGCAGGGTCCAGGGCAGCTGTGATGAGCGCATAGCAAGTTCTGGTGTCCGAGGTACCAAAGTAGAAGCATCGCTCTAAGAGACACTGGATAAGGTCGAAGATGATTCCAGACCTGCGGCATTATAGTTTAGCGAACGATGCACCTAAAGTCAGATGTTGGTACAACTTACGTTCTGTTATGGACACCTGTGATGGGACGCTGAAAAGTGCGTGATAGTCTGTTGATGTTCCCCTGCAGCCAATGCGAGCTAGTCTCCCGTCAGAAGCATGTTCATGAGCTACAATGTGATCAAGTTGCACTCACCCAACGGACACGCCGTTAAGAAAGATCCATTCTTCGCTGTAGTTCTCGTTGGGGTCCAGCGACTTCCAATTAGCCGCCTCCGGCCACAGAGCATGCTGGGATTTGAGCAAGTTGTTCTCGGTTCCGGCATTGAGCTGTAAGCAGAATATATAGTTGACGAAGATGAATCCGCCGATGTACAGGACGAAGAGCTGGAAGGGAAGGGTAGCGAGAAACGGCAGTGATATTAAGAAAGCGAGTTGCGTCACGATGAGGATGCCGTGTATAAAGAGGCACCAGAGGTTTCCGACCGAAGGATATAGCTCATCCATCTCGCCGGAAGGATAGTAGGGGTCGACTTTGCCTTGGTACCAGGTTTGGATGGCCGAGATGGCGCTGTCGATGGGGCCCCATAGGAGCCATCTGGGCATCCATGACTTGTCGAGCTTTGGGTATCGTACTCCATCTCGCCGAGGATACCATAGGGGAGAGATGACGAAGGGGATGAAACCGATGCATCTAATGAAAAGCACCAAATCATCCCAGAGAAGGCGCCATGGCGGTGCAGTGTAGTATTCGGGCAGCGTGGCCTTGATTTCTTCGGTGTCGCCCGATGGCGAGCGTGGTGATCTCGCGACTGCCAGAGATGTCGTGACGGGGCGCTTGGTTTTGTCGACCGACTGATAGACGTTGACGAAGTGCGCCGATGTCGTTGAGGCCGCCATGGCGAGGAGAGGGACGGGCGTGACGCAGTCTGTGATGACGTACAAAATTCACCAGGTTTATTTAGGTTTGGAATGTTGAAGGGTTCGGATCACTTCGTGATTGACGAGAATTTGGGACATTCGCTTGCCTTTTTGTACCTCCTGCCTACCTGCGTGCGCGCCTGCCCTCTCTGTGTTTCGGATGCACAGTCCCGCCTGCCCCTTGGCACTAGCGGAGGAGGCTGACGACGGTCTTGTCAGAAGAAGCAAAAATTCCTCACTTGACTTGGAATAGTAACATTGAGGCTGTCTTGCAATCACATGCTCTTACTGTTCAGCATTCAACTATTTCACTACCTTGTTGGTTGAATCTGACATAAGAAAGCCACCCATTGGCTGCGATCACTTGAGTTGCCTATCTCAGCCATGCAGTGGCACGCAAATCACAGCGAGCGTGCCCACACGCGACACCATCCCTTGGAATCTGGGCTGCATGATGCGCCATCGCCCGTCACTTGTCAGCCCGGCATCTAAGTCTGATGGGTCGCACTTGAATCCTTGCCGCTGCACCTTCTGCCTTGTCCTGCACCTATGAGCGTACAAGACAGGCTGGCAAGCCGCATTCTCGGCCCCCATCCTCTCTTCATGGTGCGCCTTTTCCAACGGCTATGTCCGTCTGACATAAAACCGATTCACTTGTACGATTCGGTTTCTGACTTGAGGCAGACTCCTACGCAGGTAGACGTCGGTACTTGTTGAAATCGACTCCTGCGATATTAACGTTGTCAGCTTCTGTGGTAAGTTGTGCTGATAATTTATTTCGCCTTTTTCCGTCTAACTCACCTTGTAAGTGTTACCAGGCATGATAGCCGGCCTTGGTGATCGTTATCGACTTGGGATCTGGACGTGCCTCACCATGCCGATGCAATTCAAAGTGAAAGGTCGGTAAGCCACTCTAACCGCCTTCCTCGTAGTCGTGTTATCGAAGTTATATGTTAGGCGAGACAGGGGACCGATGAAGGGAGACGGGATCACCACAACTGACGTTGTGCGGCAGCAGGCGGAGGTGGCGGCCACAGAGCCCCCAGTGCTGCCAAGGCAGCCGGTATCAAGCCCGCTTGACCCTGCGGCTGATACTGAACCTGCGGTTGGTACTGGACCGGAGGCTGATAGGCTGGGGCCGGCGCTTGGTATTGAACCGGCGGCATCTGATACATGCAATACGCCGGCGGAGGGGGATTTTCGGGGTCCGGATCGGGGCCCCTTTGTATGACGACGCACTTGTATACGCCGTAGAGTATGCCACTCCCTACTAACGTGCTGAGCACGGCGATTGTGACTGCTAAACCGGTCTGCATGGCGATGATGTATCTCGTAGGGATTCTTGAAGTAGTTAGGGGGAGGTAGTTAGTCGTTGTTAGTGGTTGTTGCTGCCGGCTGCAATAACGCTGCTGAATGTACGCAGGAAGATGGCGAGTATAGATGCCGGAACCGAGTATAGAGGTCTGAATTCTACAAGAAAATCCTAAGCTGTGATGCGAAGGAGGGATGGGATTTCCGTTTGAACAATGAGTCTACAGATAAGTTGAGCCACTGTATACTCTTTTCTACAGGCTTCGGAGATATTAACTAACCATGACTTCAGAAAATGTTAACGGAGAAAGTTCTCACCACATTTGGGCTTCACCTTATTTCTGGTCTCTGTACAAGGTCCAGAAAACTTGTTTGAAACCATTAGAAGGAACTCCGTACTCTTCCACACAAACATGGTAGAGATCATCCGGCTGTCTCGACCTTTCCGTGGTGTACCTTACCTTGCGGTGAGGTTATGTCAACGATTCCGCAAAGATTGGGTTCAACTTTGAAGGACCTTGAGGACCGGAAGGTACCAACCGATCCCTATAGCCTCGTGAGTATGACAAGGCCCTAAGATGAAGCCTCATGGATCGACAGAGTCAAGGCAATAGATAGCGCAAGTCCCCCGAAAAGCATCCCCACTTCTCACCGGTATCCGGGCCCGGGACGGGGCCGATCGGACTACTTGCGACAGGCCTTTGGCGCGACATGCTCATGCTATAACTCACTCATTTCTTTGCTATTTCTACACTCTCTTCCACAACTGTCTTGTCCGTCATGTACTTAAAATCGGGATACCTCCTCAATCTAATACGCGTACCGAGGTACCCCTGCCCGCGCGGGGTTATGCGAACCGAGGATCGTCCTCACTTGGCTACGGTCCTTCTCCAAAATGAGACACAAACAACACCTTCTTTTTCTGGTTCCGCCTAGATTGGCCACCAATCTCCTTTTTATCCCACCAAGATACCCAAGCAAATCCGTAATATCTATAGGACAAGAGCCAAGATAGATAACCCCCAACTACCGACCATCGTTGCCGAAGCTACGGGCATCTTCCTGATTCCTGGATACTCAGGGGTAATCTGCCAACCAACTTCAACCCAGCAAATCGCAACCTTCCCCTTTTATAGCTTTGAACTTGCCTTTTCGAAATCCACGGTCCTGATTCCCGACTGACTTTCCCCTCCTGACAAGTGTTGCGTAAGAACTCTTTGCTGGTCTCTTTGATGTGACGATACTATACCAAGAGGTGCTTACCATGCGTTAGGTCTCTGCATTGAGCCGAGGCTCTGGACTTTAGGCAAGTCACAACGGCTGTTGTGAGGCATCTCTGACTTCTGATAATCGTTCTCGAGGGTCCAAATCTCCTGTATATAAACAAGCTCATTGTCGATAAACTTTCCATCTGATCTCCGCATCTCCATCTAGAGTCAAGCTCGCAACATCAAGATCCGTAAATCACCACTTACAAAAATCGCGCCAAACATGCATCCCCTCACCCTCTTCGTCGCCGCCCTCCCGCTGGCAACCCAAGCCAACGCAGCCCTCCAGCGCGTCACAAACTTCGGCTCAAACCCAACAGGTCTAACAATGGACATATCCGTGCCCCCAAACCTGTCCGCCTCCCCCGCCATCGTCCTCGCTCTCCACGGCTGCGGCGGCTCCGGCGCGGCCTACAGCCGCCAAGCAGAATACATTCCCTTGTCGGACACAAAGGGCACCTTTGTCGTAATCTACCCGTCCTCCTCCCGCGACTTCAACTGCTGGGACGTCGCCACCACCGCCAGCCTAACCCGCGACGGCGGCGGCGACTCTACGGGGCTAGCCAACATGATCCGCTACACCATCGGCCAGTACGGCGCCGACCCCAAGCGCGTCTTCGTCACGGGCAGCTCGTCGGGCTGCATGATGACCAACGTGCTGACGGCCACGTACCCGGACCTCTTCGCCGCCACCTCGTGCTACTCGGGCGTCGCGGCGGGCTGTCTGGCGGGCTCGCCCGGCTCGAGCCCCATCAGCGCCGATCCCACGTGTGCCAACGGGCTGGTCGTGAAGACGGGCGAGCAGTGGGCCGCGCAGGTGCGCGCCATGTACCCCGGTTATAACGGGAGCTACCCGCGCGTGCAGACGTTCCATGGCACGGCGGACTCGCTTGTCAAGTATCCCAACTTGGCTGAGCAACTTAAAGAGTGGTCCACCATCCACGGTGTAAGCTTTGCAAAGAACAACACCAATACGCCCATTAGTGGTTACACGCAAATGATTTACGGAGATGGGACTAAGCTCGTGGGGTATTCTGCGCAAGGTGTCGGGCACACTGTTCCGGTTCAGGAGGATCAGGACTTGAAGTGGTTCGGCTTGTAATAGCTTTGGTTAGCCAAAAGGATTGAAAACACAGTTGAGGATTGAGCTGATATTGATGCAATGCAATATGTACTGCGTAGATGTCCAAGCAGGCGCTAACTCTTCGCTAGATACATGAAGTGAACAGATTTCTCAATTACGGGATGTAAAGAAGCTGCTCAATGAACACTAGAACATTTCCCTAAAGTGGTTGAAAACGTTGTCCACATATGGATTTGATACAGCAGTGGTCGGCGGCATGCTGGCGTCGGACTGGCTACCAAAACCATCATCCCCGTTGGATGCGAAGCCATTGAGCCCTAAGTATCCCTCGAAAATGCGACTCATCTCGTTTTGAATGCGGACTCCGTTGTTTGGCGACTGAGCCGTGTCCAGGTTCGGTGTTTGCTGTTGGGGTATCGTCGGGGTTGTGGATGAGCGACCGAAAGGCGCAATCCCCGCCGGGCTGTTTGGCATGCGTCCGCCACTCGCAAGTCCAGCCATCGTTAGAGCCGCAGAGCTGTGTGCATCTTCATCTGGTAAGTTGCGAAGACCGATGCTTGGTGCAACTTCTTTGAGCGAACTGATTGTACGCCACAGCCGCTGAGACACCCAACTTTTGGCGGAAAGGTCCTTGACAAGCTCCAGGGCCATGTAGAACTCTTCTCGGCACGTGGAGCTGAACCTCACTGGTGCATGGACAGAAGCCAGGAAGAGAACAGAGATTGCCGATGTCAGGAACTGGTGGTAGAAGACCTGTATCTTACGATACAGGTTCGTGGTATTGTTAAGGTGGCTTAGATAACGGATCGTGTCTTTTGCAAGGTCAACTACACGCTGAGCTTGGGCAAAGTGGCCCATGATGCTAGTTGCGCTATGAAGGATTGGCGTATACAGCCAGATGCGAATCTGCAAACAAGTCAGTATCAAATTCGTAACCGCAATCCCCGATACATCAATACAAACCTGATTAAACCGGAGATATGTCCAGATGCGCAGGCGTTGAAGATTGTACGACGGAGTCGAGGTCATCTGCTTCTCCTTGTCCCAATTGCGAAGTTTGACTTCTTCTGGTACGTTCTCGTACCATTGCAGAATCTCCTGGTCTAACTGCTCCATGTCTTCATGACGGAGCTCACGAGCTAGGACGGGACCAAAGTCTGTGACTTGACGCCAGACCTTAGCTCCCAACCTCGAGTAGCTAATCATAGCGACCAAGTACGGATACTCATCCTGTGTGACCGTGAGTAAAGACACGCCCAGCTGTTTTATGTTGGATCAGGGCGACTCACAGGCATGGGTAGTTCTGGATCAATCTCCTCATCCGGAACGACGAACGGCAGGCCAGTGTTAAAAGCCCACCGCCGGTCCAGAACGTAGGCAGACCAGAAACTGTTCAAAGCATTTTTCCTATCCTCTTCGTTCTTGATTTTCGCGATGCCGGTGGTCCTGTGGATGCCCATCTCCAAGCACAACCTAGTGACTTGGCCCATGACGCGCCATGCCAGAATTTCCTCATTGGCCAGAAATCTGTAGCCAGCAAGAAGACACAGAGCTGGAAGACTCACAAAGTCGACCGCCTCGACCATGAGCTTTCGGTTGAGGACGACGTCCATGCTGTCAATCAGCTTGCACGCTTTCTCGCTGTGCCCGTGCTCTTCCACGACAAGAGCGCAGCTCATGACGATCTTGAGCTGCAATGTCTTGTCGTCGTTGAGATTTGGTGTGATGCCCTGCTTTCGGGCTGATTCCATGTACGCCGTCAGGTGACGGACATGCTCAATGACTGACGGTATCTTGATGACGGGATACATGATGCCGACCTCTTCGTCATGCAGTCGACACAAGCGAATCATCTCGTCCTTGCCAAAGTCCCATAAGGGGTCGATTTGGCTTTCTTGAGGAGGCATGCGGAAAGGACTGTCCTCGGGTACACCCAGGGGCGTGCCTTGTTCATCCTCCCCAATGCCTTTGTAGCCCATATTGTGAATGGTAGTGTTGGCGATGTCCAGACTGTAAGCCATACTGGTGGGGCCACGGAAAGTTGCCTGCTTCGTTTGGGTCAACTCAGGCCGGTGGAGGGGAGACAGCGAGCTCGCCGGGGAGGCCTGAACTGTGCTTGAGGGGAAAGGTAATACTTTGTCCTGGATGGGCGCCAGACGCAGGGTTTCGGAACGGAGGGTATTCATGTTCTGATAGAGGTTATCGACCTGCTCTTGCAAGCGGGCCATCTGCTCCGTCATGGTCTTGTACTCGTCCGAGTCCTTGAAGCTGTTGGAGCAGCAGTTTGGGGCATAGAGGCACTGGAGGTTGAGATTGCCACATCGTTGGCACGGAGTTTCGCCATTGCATTTGATTTTGCGTCTCTTGCATTCGTTACTGTTGGAGAGGGCGTGGGCCGCGTTAGTGATCTTGCCTTTTTATACAGATGAGTTTGGAGACTTGGAGGAGCTCATGGCAGCCAATGATTTGTGTAGGTAGACGGTTGGGCCAAGGTTCTCCAACCACGAAGAGAAGAAGTCGCAATGGTATTCGGCTAGGCGCCATGCCAGACATGACCGGGACGGAGGTATCCTTACCAGGCAATGGATATGTACTGTTACAGCGGCAATTAGCTTTCTGGAGTTCCACAAAGTTTATCAATGACATAGCACACAGCGGAAAGGATGTTCACAGGGAAAGAATGACGAGGACAAGGAGATGATGGGTAGCTAAGGTACTGGTAAAGACTGAAGGAAGTCTGGACAACGGCAAAGACTACGCACCCGATTCCTCTTGCTTCTCTGCTGCTTAGCAGCATTGCTCTCATCCTCTGACTTCCTCTTGGAACCAGTAACAGAGCTTGAGCCAGGCGTTCCAACTTGAGTTGCACCTCTGGAGGCCCCTGGTTGTTGTGCGGAATTGTCTCCGGGGGTCGCGGAAAGGGGGGAATGGACAGAGTGATTGTGTGGAGAATAAGCGGCGGCAGTGGCAGCGCGGTCAGGCGGCAAAGGGACGGCTGCTTGGGTCAAGTAGCGCAAGTCGCTGACCTGCGCGTCAATCTGCTCCATTGCGCATGGCGAGGCCCCTGGCGGACCTGTTTTTGTTTGTTTCTCGCGTTCGATCGTGAGCGACTGTTGAGCGATGGGGAGCAGGCGAGTAATGGCGATTTTCTCCCCTGTTTGTTCAGGCAGGTACCTGGGTACCTCACTGTCCCCCCCTTAGCCTCACTTCTTTTTTCGGGTATCGGGGCTTTCCTGCTCTCAGCTAATCCCGCTGACCTTCACGTGACCGGCTGAGCGTCCGGTCACGCGTTATCTTCATAAATCCCACTTTTACGTGATGCGATCCTTGAACGATTGGCCGCCCTATCGAGGCTTTCATTTCGAATGACGGCATTCTGCCCAGTGCCCAGGCTGTCAACCGAGGCTGAACCGCTCAAGGGCGTGGTATTGACTCCCAGATCCGCAGCCAGAAGATAAGTCTGCCTTGTGCTTGTCCGAGTACCTTACTGGTAATTGAGGGTTGGCTTCCATCCAGCTAATAGGTAGACTACCTAGGTAGACACGGAATCTACTTCCAACACCGATATGTCTTGCGCCTTATCCCAGACCTGGAAGATCCAAGTCCAAAAGGTCGAAAGTTTGAAGATAAAGTCTATAGGGTGTTCCCCAAGTCCCAAAATCGATATTCATTGGCTTGAAACACTTTATTTCTAAAAGATTGAATGTTTCTCGACATCAGGCATGTCCTAGAGTATTACTGAACATGCCGACACCACCTCTGAAGTCTATGTAGGTTGTGGCCAGGCGTGCAGGGGTCCATGGGCTGAGCTTACATAATGTATCAAACTTGCTTGGTGGGGTCCCTGATTCTGCCGCACCTCACCACCAAAAAGTTTCTTGAAGCCCAGAAAATTCACCTAGCATTGCGCAGCGGACCCCTCTCTGAGTTGCCATACAAGCCGTAAACCACATACACGATGTCGGCCCGTAGGAGAACATCCGACTGGGAAGACAAGCCAGCAAAGGGTAAGAGAGAATCTATGAAGAACAACATTGACGTATTGACTCTGACTTTCGTTTTCTAGATCTCGATCCTGAGGCTGAGCACGTCGAGGAGAGCGAAAACGAGAGCGGCAGTGAAGCAAGCGCAGATGAGAATGCTGGCACCGAGCACTATGTCGCAGTCGGGTACGATACACGCCAAACAGAATGTATGCATATATAGCTTGGAGAAGTACTGACCGTCTGTCACAGCAAGAGCAAGCTCCGAGGAAAGGAGAGTGTCTCGCTAGGCCCGAAATACCGCGGCGCTCGCGTCAGCCGCGACGCACTAAACCACTCGAGCGACGACGATGAAAACGAGATATTTGAGGATGCGCAGGAGGATCTGGACTCGAATGGCGAGGAGTACGACGACCCGGACGCCGCCGACTTGGCTGCCGACACTGTAGCCGCCGGAGACGAAGATGTCGAGATCTCGAGCGACGACGCACTCGGCGAGAGCGACGATGAGAAGCTCGAGGCCTTTGCTTTCCGCGGCAGCTCGCAGCCCAAGGATAAGAAGGGAGGCCGAAGCAAGAGGCCCACCGCTGCTGACTTCATCTCCGATGAGGAAGAGGAGGAGGAGGAGGATGACGACGAGGAAGGCGAAGGTGCCGCATTAGATGACGAGGACGACGAGATGGACGACTCAGATGACAACGAAGGTCTGACGGACGGATTGGAAGGGTCAGACGAGGACGAGGAAGACGATTTGGGCTCCGACGAAGAATCTGAGGAAGATTCCGAGGAGGAGGACGACGACGACGCAGAAGACGACAAGCCTCGCGGCAAGTCCTCCAAAGCCGACGCGAGAGCCGAGCAGCGCAGGCTTATGAACGAAGGTTCAAAGGTGCTCGCCGCCTCCATCTCCGCCGCCGCGCAGCAAGACGCCCAAAAGGGTCTCGCCGTCCGTGAGCAGCGCAAGACCTTTGACGGCCTCCTCAACATCCGCATCAGGCTGCAAAAGGCCCTCGTCGCAACAAACTCGTACTCCACCGTCGAGGACGACGAAGAAGAGCAAAATTCTGAACCGTACGAGGCGGCCGAGGAGGCGGCGCTCAAGCTGCTCAACACCCTCGACAGCTTCCGTGCCAGCCTGCTCCCCGCAGAGCTTCAGCAGGCCGGCGGCAAGCGCAAGAGGGGCGAAGCCTTCGACGCCGCGACCTCGAGCCAGGAGATCTGGGAGGGCATCCAACAAGCCGAGGAGCGCGCGGCCAAATACCGCAAAAAGGTGCTCGAGACGTGGTCCAGCAAGACGCGCAGCGCCACGGTGGAGGTCAAGTCGCGCAACCTCATCTCCTCGCAGACGTCCATCGTCGCCTCCCTCGAGGAGCAGCTCCTCTCGGCCGACCGCCTCGTCAAGCGCACCCGCACCCCGCGCTCGTGCGCGCCGGCGCAGGTCGCGGCCAAGGTCAACGAGGACCCGGACATCTACGACGACGCCGACTTTTACCAGCTCTTGCTCAAGGAGCTCGTCGAGCAGCGCACCGCCGACAACGGCGGCGCCGGCGCCTCGGGCGCGCAGCCCACGGTGCGGTGGGCGGCGATGAAGGAGGCAAAGACCAAGAAGCACGTCGACAGGCGCGCGAGCAAGGGCCGCAAGATGCGCTTCAACGTCCACGAGAAGCTGCAGAACTTCATGGCGCCCGAGGACCGCAGGGCGTGGGAGCAGGATGCCGTCGACAGATTGTTCGGCACGCTGTTTGGACAGAAGATGGAGCTCGGCGAGCAGGCTTCTGATGCGGAGATGGAGGACGATGGGGAGGTTGATGCCGAGGAGGCTGGTCTGCGTTTGTTCCGCAACTAGGACTGTGTAGACATGTGAATAGCCAAAAAAGGGTCGCTGGGCATTTAAAAAGTTATGTACATTCATATGAAGATATCCCAAGGGTATAGACTGAGCTACGAGAGAAATCACTGCGGTGAATCTTACATCCATAATCTCAAAAGGTCATCACTGCAACCTCTTCTTCCTCTTCTAACCTCTATCGTCACATAAACACAGTCCTCGCAAATAACAAGAACATGCCAACATGCACCGCGAGATGAACAGCCGGTCCTCCAAGAGTCCTCTGCGTTGCCTTCGCCTCTTCTCCTCTCTCCTTTCCCAGACCATCCACCTCGGGCTTCGTCAACCGCACATAGGCGCGCCAACACGGCCAAACATGCCAAAATGCCAACGCCGCCGCAACCTGCCTACTCATCTCGTCAAACGGCCGCGATACAAAGATGAGGCAGATCAGGTTCGTGGTCAGCAGTAGCCCACCGAATTGCTGCAGCACCAGCTGCGCGGCGGCCGGTGGGTTAGTCAGCTGACTGCCGGGCCTGAGGATGAAGGAGCACGCGGCGGCGGTCTCGATGGCGATGTGGAAGAGGAAGGGGAGTTTGGCTGGTTGCATTATTGGCGGCAGCATCATGTGGAGGGTTGTATCGGTGATGCGTCTAGGTATGTCAGCCCCAGCTCGGGAGCTGAACGTGGTGAGTGTGTGTGTGAGTGGAACTATCTCATGCAGTGAGCTTTTGAGTCTGCATTACTCCCTTGGTTGATCGTTGTAGTTCGTCCATAGTGGCACCTACTTACAGGCTTCAGCCACTGATACTTCTTCCTCTGTTGCTCCGGTGTACGCAGTATTTCCTGATAGAAGAGTGAGAAGGTCGGTCCGGAGTTCAGAATCCGGAGCTGACCGGATCCGCAAAGGTTCGCCGGCGCGGTGAGACTTGAAAGGTTCGGTCGGCCGTGGAGCAACTCAAAAGTCCGAGCGGAGGGATTGATGGTTTTGTTTAGGAAACTTCACTCCGGCTTCAACGTAAGTTACAGTGGCTCTGCTCGCGAACAATGAGTGCGACTAGGCCTTGGTTCTGATGAAGTTAGAGTTTGCCTTCTACTCTATTTTGTCTTTTTCTACAAATGGTCGTTACCTGGATACCTTGCCTAACACACGTGCCTGCGGAAACGAGAATCCTGAAGGATGCTACAAATCAGGCTCAATCGCACTGTCGGCACCGGTACAGAGTATGCGTTCAGATCCATAGCTGTGCCTTACAAAGTTGTACACTACCTGCGATGCTTTATGAGGCCTGGTCAGCTCCATTGAGATGCGTTTGACTGGCTGTCCATGAGGAAAAGGTCAGCAACCCTGCCGATTACGCATGAAAAAGTTATGACATGCACCGCAAGCTTGGTGCCGTGGCGGTCGATGCGGGAAGCTTTAGGAGCCGAGGTTGAGTATTTTAAGCTACTGGGGTTTGTTCGAGCAGCTGCAACTCTTGTAAGGCGCCTAAGAAACCCCCTGTTCTGCTCTTACCCAGGACACGCGAGCGGCGAGCCTGGAACTGATTCATGAATCATGCCGTGTGTCTTTTCGCAAAAAAGCTTCCACAGCTCTTGGCCTGTCTCTCTTCTGTGTATTATTATCAACATTACCAACTTACACGTGTGGATTTCGTGCTTTGCCTGCACGTTGAAAGAAAAGAGATGGCAGCGTGAGCGCGGGCCGCGGGACGGACTCCCAAACAGTTCCGTTTCTAGAAGACAAGGACCGGAAAACACAGGCGGGACGCCTTGTAGGAGAGTGACTTGGGATGGAACACAGTATCGGATGAGACGTGCCGACCTCTTGGTCAAGGCAAGTTTCTCGCGAGGTATGAGACGATAAAAAAAAAAAAAAAGAAGAAGAAAAAAAAATAATGGCCACTAACTAGCACACCACAAATATGAGCAGCGTTCGACCAACCCAGCTCAGTTCCTCGGGTACTTCAACGCATGTCAGATTATGGCCTCCCAATAACCGCATCTTGGTTCCTGACAGCTGGTGGCCGATCCCATCTAGGAACGACCCTTCACACCCACCTTCTTTTGGGCAGTGAAAAAGAGAGCGCGAGGTGCAGATGGCCGCAGCGCATCGCGACTCACGAGCAACCCCCAAGAGAGGCTTCTAGCTTTCGTGCTCTTTTAATCATGTACGAATACTCGTAGCTTCCTTTGCTAGAGCAACATTGCACAGGGATCATCACGCTTGCCAGAGTCACCACGATAAGGACTCCTCCCCTTTATATCCGAGGATAAACAGAATAGGAAGCAAGTATCACTTATCAAGAAGTAACCTAGACAAAAAAACAAAAACTCCACCGCCTCGCCGCCTCGCGTGAGCCCGGCTCCGAAGATTGGATTCAGACAATGTTTCAGTTCCGGGGTTGGCTACCCTACTTTTCACCTCTAACCTTGCAAGCTAACCGCACTGCAGCGTCGCACTGCTGGACCCCTGAGCAGCAACCGGGGACGGAAGTCATTCCGGGGGCTCTCTCGTACATTCCAGGATGAGGCAGAACCCCGAGTCGGGGGAACCCAAGATAGGGTGGGAGAACATGATTGCAAAACGAAACGGTGCAACAACTCCTCCGACTCTCTCTCGTTGGTATCAAGTATCGACCCGACTCGCCCACTACCATTATCGCCACAAGCAAACACGGCGCGTCTCTTGGCCAGCCCCGTCCTGCCGTCTCTCTCTCTATTCCTAAAGTCCATGTGCCCATGGTGTATGGACTTTGGAGAAAGCATCGTGGTCTAAGGCGAGTCTAGTAATCAGCAGGTAGAAAGAGCACCACCATACGGAGAAGGTACGGCAAGGGTAGCTCCTCTTGGCCAACCACTTTTGTTGAGCTCAAGGTGCAACTACGACCGGCGCTTGTGCTTCCTTACATACGGATACCGTCCTCTTTTCCTTCCCCCCTCCACCCCCAGTCGCCTTTGCCTCATCCCACCCACCACGTCCACGGCACCACCACCATCCAAGTCACCAACCACCACCACCCATGCTCAATGCCGGCGTCACTATTATGTTTCCTTAATGCATGACGGGCCTGTCTCTCGTCTATTATCTTTCTTCGCCTCCCGCTCTCTATCCTCTGCCTCTGAACACAAATCTGGCCTCCACCAATTTCACAACCTGACCGACTTTTGCGTTCTACCTTTCCAACACACCTAAAATCGATATGCTAGAGGCCTAGCTAGAGCTTCCCGTACCCGCTTCGCCTTGTCCATCGTTTCTCCCGTTGGCAACATACGAATCGCACCACGTTGGCATAATACACCAGACCAACATTTCTGTCCGCGCTACATCGTTGGTGTTCTCCGTACAATCTGGTAATTCTGTGTTGCCGTTCAGCCGCAGTGATATCATCACTCACAAGACGCACACCTCAAGTACGGATACTAGCCACCTAGCACCCATCTATCCTTGTCTCTCTTGCGCCAAAGCCCATTGCGAGTCGCATATAGCTCTATCCCCTTGCCAAACGCCTCCCGCAGCTTCTTCAGAGCTTCAACAAGCTCTCTCTCTCTCCTTCAACCTGCCATTGACCTTAGACTTTTCCCGTTTGAAGGTCGAATTTTACATAACGCACATAATACACACAAAACGCCACATCCAATCGAGAGGAACAGTCAATTAAGCTACCCCTCCCCCGCATCGCAACTCTCGTACACACAATCCACAATGGCGGCTCCCAACACCTTCGGGGAGCTTGGTCTCTCCATCATTGGCGTCGCCAGCCAGTACCCGCCCTACTCGCTCAAGACGGACTCAATAGACTACCTCAGCAACAAGTTCTATCCTGAATCACCTTCGTAAGCATCGGGTACCGCAGTTGGGCATATTGTTACTGCTTCTGACCACAGTTATCGTGCAGCATGAAAAAGGTTCTCTCCATCAACAGGTTTACCGGCATCGACTACCGTTCTTCCATCGGCACCCACGAGCACGAAGTCGTCAACCAGAAAGACGCCCCCTCCATTGCAGAACTGCACAAGGTCTTCATGAGCGACGGCGTACCACTCGCCGTAGAAGCATCCCGCAAAGCCATCGAAGAAGCGCGCATCGACCTGAGCGAAATCACCCACGTCGTATCGACAACCTGTACCGACAGCGCCAACCCGGGCTTCGACCACTACGTCGTCAATGGCCTCGGCATCACACACCAGGTCGAAAAGGTCCTGCTCCACGGCGTCGGTTGCAGCGGCGGGTTGGCAACGCTACGGACGGCAGCGAACCTGGCGCTGGGACACAAGGCGCGAGGGAAACCCGCGAGGATCCTCTGCGTTGCGCTCGAGGTCAGCACCACCATGGTGCGCAGCGAGCTCAACAGCATCGACGAGTTGCAAGAGACTCGGATCGGCGTCGCGCTCTTCTCTGACTGCGCGAGCGCCGTGGTGCTTAGCAATGGCGTCGGCGAGCCAACGGAACCCGTCTACGACTTGTTGGGGTGGGAGCATAAGATCATTCCCGACACAGACCAGGACCTCGGCTTCGATGTCGATCCTGTTGGTGAGTTCAAGAACCCCATGGTGAAGCAACCAAAGCATCGTAACTAAAGGAATGCAGGCTGGAAAGTGATTCTTACCCCACGAGTACCGAAGCTCGCATCGGCGGCAATCCCGTCGACGTTCGCAGAGATGCTCTCTGACGTACCATCACTGCCACCGAATTATCAGAAACCCGAAGACTTCGATTGGGCGATGCACCCCGGAGGCGCGACGATCTTATCGGGGGCAGAGACGACGATGGGCATCACATCGTACCACATGCGGGCGAGCTACGACACATATATCAATCACGGAAACTCGAGCTCGGCAACGATATTCAGCGTTATGGACAGGCTGCGATCCAAGGACATGGATGCCGTAGCACCGGAGGGCCGAGCCCGGGACTACGTGGTGGGGTGTGCGTTCGGGCCGGGAATCTCGGTGGAGATGTGCATGCTGAAGCGGAACATGCGGGCGCGAGACGCCACGGGGCTGCAGACGCCACCGGAGACGGAGAGCGAGGGCAGCACTAGCGAAGCTGGGGATGATGGCGGGGTGCGGTCGGAGGAGCGGCCATCTTCGGGGCGTCAAGCGGACCAGACCTTTGTTGCGGAGGCAATGGAGGAGCTTGATCTCGACTGAGGGGGGGTTGGGAAGCTGGGTTCGGAGAGGGTACTCTGGTCTGGAGCGGGAGGTCGTATATAGCGAGGCGAGAAAGAGCAGGACGTACGGATACATACCCATGACTTGACGGCGCTAATGAAGACATGGCAAGGCCGCAGAGATGGCTGAGGTGGCCAGCGTTCCCGTGATGGAACACTGGCGAAGATGACGAGTGCTAGATATTGGTCAAGACGGCGGTAGAGTTGAATAGACGAGGTCGAAGAGATTCCCAGGTTCGGCGCCATTCATTGGTTAATAGGTATTGAAATGTCGCGGAGCCATGACATGGCAATATGCAAGCTCGTGGTTTGCACCCGAGATTCGAGATTCGAGTTCGTGTATGCGCCGGAAGGTGGACAGGCAGGTTCTTGGAAGTGGAGAGGCACGATATCAGAGACACGAGATGAGCCGAACCGTGGGTAATTCTTCCGGCAATGAAAGAAGACATTGCGCCCCGGGGGACGGTTGTGCCGAGGAAAGAATGGCGTCGATGGGTGTTTTGAAGGTGTGCAGAGTCGATTTTCGGCGGACAAAGGATGGAAGCTGAATACGATCCCGCATCTTTCCGGGCCTTCGGCAATGGGCTAAGGCTGGGGGTGGAAACGTGAAGGCGCAGACGGGAAGCGGACGGGATGAGCTCATGGTCCCCGGGGAGAGGTTATCGTCATGGGGCAGCGCGATTGGTCTGGCTTTTCCGGGGCCCGGCGCACATGAGGTAAGGAAATGGTCGTTCGGGATAGC